TAATAATAGTATTAAGGGAATACAGAACGAGTTAAAAACGTTGCAAAAAAATTTTCTAAAATTTTAAAACGCGAACGTACGAAAAACGGGGAAAACTTTTCACTCTCTACTTTTACCTAAAATAAAAAAAAAAAAAAAAAATCTTTTTCTTTCGACTAGCATAAATAAATAATTTTTAACAACAAAAACGAAAAAAAAAAAAAAATGGGAAAATGGGAAAAATGGGAAAAATGTTTATTGCGTTGGAAAAAAAAAAAAAAAAGGTGAGAATAAAAAGAGAGGAAGAAAAAAAAGTAAACACGCGCACACACACACACACGGGTCACGTTTTAATGTTTTTTTTTTTGTTTTTTGTTTTGTTTTGTTTGTTTCACATAAAATGTTAAAAAGTTTTTTAAAAAAAATTTTCTCGCCATATCCCTTTTTTTTTAAAGGGGGGGGGGTGGAGGGTAGGTAGAAGGAGGAGGAAACCATCCCATCACTAACGTTTTCCTTTTCAATGTCTTAATCTCTCACCTTCTCTCTCACTCTCTCTTTTTCTCTTCCTCTTTCTCTCCCCATCTCTCCCCATCTCTCTCTCTCTCTTTTTGTTTCTCTCTCTCTCTCTCTCTCAAAAAAATGATGATTTTTTCTTATGACACTCATTTATTTAAAAATTTACGATAATTACGATGGTCTAAACCTTTTATTATTATTATTATTATTATCATTATTATTAAATTCTCATCACGAAGGGTATAAATAATTTTTTTAACGCCCTTTTGTAAAATCACAGCGTGGTATTAAAATAATAATATTCGGACGACAATTTAATACCCCCGCTCGTATAACCCGAACGGAATAATAATAATAATAATAATAATAATGATAATACTACTAACGACGACTACGACTATGGCTAAAATAAAACAAAAGACAGAGAAAGAGAGAGAAAGAGACAGAGACAGAGAAAGAGATTTATCGATGATTTACGAGAATGGAATCAAGTGGAAAAGCTCGAAACAATGGAAAACCCGAGTTAGGTGGGTGGAAGGGGGAGGTGAGAAGTGAGGGGAGAGAGAGAAAGGGGAAGAGGAGGGGAAACAAATAAAAAAAATAAAATAAAACGAAACGAAATCCTTTTGTCAAAACTTGGGTTAACAACCGAACAATAAACGAACGGATTTTTTTTTAACCGGACCCAAACAAACACCCATTACGTAAACATACAATTCGAACGTTCTTTTCCCCCCCCTTCCCTCCCTCTCTCTCTATCTCTTTCTATCGTGTTTCTTCCCTCCCCTCCCCATCTCCTCCCGCGTACGATTAAAAAATTATAATTTAAAAAAATATTTTAAAAAATTTTTTTGTCGGTATCGATCGAAAACTGGAAAAGAATTCTTTCCCTCCGCCCCCTACCCCTTCTCACCCCTTGATAAAAATAAAAAAAAATCCGGGGAGTTTATTACAATTATCATCATCATTATCATCATCATTATTATTATTATTAATTTTTTTTACCCCCCCTTTTTTTTTTAAATTGAATAAAAACGTTAAGTAAAGTGCGTTCTTTTTCCTTTTTTCTTTTTTTTTTTTTTTTTTAATTTTTCTTCTGCTTTTTTTCCCCCTCCCTTCTCGTTTATTTATTTATTTACTTATTTTTTTCTTCTGCTTTTTCCCTCCTCCCCCCCCAACTTATTATTTTTAAGAAGAAGAAAAAGAATAAAGAGAAAAAGAAGAAGAAAAAAAAAACGATTTGTCTTGTAAATAAATAAATAAATAAAAAATCTTTACGAAATGGAAAAAAAAAAAATGATGATGATAATAATAATAATAATAATATTTTTTTTTTTAATTCTCACGGTTGCCTCCCACCTCCCTCCCCCCTTTACATTTTCTCTCTCTCTCCCCCCCATAAAATGGTTTCCTTTCATTTTTAATTAAATTCTTTTTGAGAAAATTAGAAAGAAAACTTTTTTTTTTTTTCCAGGTTTTCTTGATTTTCTTGATTTTCTTTTTTTTTTTTTTTTTTTGTTTTTAAATTTTCATTCTTTTCTTTTCTAAAATTTTTCATTTTTTACTAAAATGTGTGCGCGTATTTACAACCCCCCCCCCGATTTTTTTTTTACCGCTTTTCCCGATAACGAATACGAGTATTAGTATGTCGGAAAACATTCTGGAACGTAAAACAAAACAAATTTATAAAAATTTTCCGCCGTTAAAAGAATAAAAAAAAAAAAGTTTCAATTAACTTAATTAAAAAGGGAAAGAAAAGAAAAGAAAAGAAAAGAAAAGAAAAGAAAAGAAAAGAAAAGAAAAAAGGAAAAAATTCAAATGATTAATATCGTCATCACTTAACTTGGAAAGAGAGAGAAAACTTTTCCCCCGTCCCCCCTCCCTCCCCCAGTTTTCCTAAAACTTTATTTTCAAACCCAAGGAAATATATCTTCTTCTCCTTTTTAAAACTTTTTCCCTTCGGGTGACCCAAACAAATAAGAAGAAAAATGGGAGGAAAAAAAGGAAAAAAAACCGCAAGAAAATTTTTTTTCCTTTTACAAGAAAATTCGTCGTTTGTTGCACGCGAAAGAGAAGAAAAAACAAAAAAAAAAAAAAGAAAGAAAAATTTATTTCCACAGAAAAACGGGTTAAAATGTGAAAATAATTTTTTTTTTTTTCCCCCATTCGATATCGTTCCTCCTTCTGGAAGGAAAAAAAAAAAAATGGATGAAATTATATCGACGGCAAACGACCGTAAAAATAAAATTTTCTGCCTCCCCTTATCCCCCCACTCACATCCTCTCACTCCCCGATTTCCTATTCATTTTTTTAACAAAAAAAAAATTTTCATATCGCGTTACGAAACCAAATAATAATAATAATAATAATAATAATAATAATAATAATAATCCAAATTTAAGAGGAAGTGGGAACGGAAAAACCTGGACAAAATTTAAAAATATTATATAAACGCTTGAGATATTGATGTGGAAAGCAGACGAAATTGGTTAAGACGTGGAAAAATCAAGGCGGAAACGGAAACGTTCGTCACTTCTGCTCAGAACCAAGCCTTGCGAATATACGACTACCAGAAAGCAATTCATAAGGACCGCAGATTTGGCAATCACAATCGGAAACAATCGAACATTTAATTTCCGGTTGTTCGATATACGCAAAACGTGAACACCAATAGAAAGGCACAATAAAATCTGTAAATATCTCAACTGGAATGACTAGTCAAGGAATGGTACGACCACATTCTAACTCCCCGGTTACGACAGTGGGTCCACGCAAGGTTCTGTCTTGCCAACAAACCGGATATCATACAGAAAGATGATGTAAACTAATTGAAGTATCCGTACCGGCGGAAAGAAACACGAGACAAAGGCAAAGAAGCGGAAATAGCGAGGATGTGGGGAAGACACCGTACCGGAAATGACGTTACGGCCCACATTCTTCGATAGCACTACCGATATTCCGGCATTTATCCAGCAATTCCTGAGGAATCGTCGGGTAAAACCTGGAATAAATGTTTAAAAACTCCGACTACTACTCGGTATCCTGTCGCGTTCGAGAGAGTGAAAATAATAATAATAATAATAATAATAATAGTCGAAACTAAAACCCCGAAAGTGAAAAACTTTAGTCGAAATTAATTATTAAAGTGGCAATTATAATTTTTCAACGTTAATGTTTCCATAGAGAATTTAAACAAACGCTATCGCGACGATGAGAACGACGACGACGACGGCGATGATTATTAATATTATTATTATTATTTTAAAGTTTTCCCCCTCAAGTGTGTAAACAAAATAATAATAACATAACATACAACAACAACAACAACCAAGTGATATAAATTGTTTCTTTCCCGTTTATTATTATTATTATTATTATTTTTTATTTTTTTAATACAAAAACCAACCGACTTAATTAAATATTCAATTTTCCAGTAAAATAATAATAATGAAAATGAAAAAAAAAAAATTCTAATAATTTTATTCATAATTTTTTTTACCGGAGAAAAAATTATCATTATTATTATTATCATTATTATTATTATTATTAAAGAAAATTAAACTTTTTTTTTTTTTTCTCGTAACGGTTTTTCAAAACGGAAAATTATCACGTTTCGTACTCCCGAGTACTTGATAAGTTAAACACGTTTCTATACAAAACACACACACGATCGTGTCACCAGATTAATTATTTCAATTATGATTTTTTTTTATAACGGATACGAAAAAACGATCGATGATGACGTACACACACCCACACGCACACGCACACGCACACGCACACGCACGCACGCTCGAATATAAAAATACAAAATAATAGTAATAATAATGGTGGTGGAAAAATTTTGAAAAACACCTTGAAAAATTATTATTATTATCGATACAATTTTTTCGTAATATCGAATTCGATCGTGCAAAATAACAACAGACGACGACAAAAACTTATTATTTTTATTATTTTTCCCTCTCGTATTTTTCTCAAAGGAAAAAAAAAAAAAACGAAAAAAGAAAAAAAATTCGAGTGTTGCAAACTATTGAAAAACAAAAAATACAATAAAGAAAAAAATCACTCGACATATTTTTTTTTTCTTCTGCTTCTTCGACGTGCATACTCTCTTTCTCTCTCTCTCTCTCCCTCTCACTCACTCGCTTTGATGTTTATATTTACATTATAAAATTAAATCATCCTTATTATTATTATTATTTATTTTTTTTATCTTTTCTTTTAATTTATTTTTTTTTCCAATAACGTTTTAAAATAAAATAAGTGCTTAATAATAATAATAATAATAATAATAAATAATAAATAATAAATAATAATAATAATAAATAATAATAATAATAATAATTTTTCCAAAGTGTTTTGAAAACTTTCTCTCCCTCGTGCCCCTCGTGCTCCCCGTGACCCTCCCCCTCCGTGTCCGTGTTTTTTAGTTTCGATTATTATTATTATTATTTTGTTTTCAATCATTTGGCTTTAAAAAAAGGTTTAAGGTTTTAAACAAAATGGTTATCACGTGTAAAAAACCTTGCAAAAAGAAAAGGTCGACATTGTTGACCGTCGAACAACTGGTCGATATTGCACTGGGAACTCCGGAGGTAAATTAAAACCTTTTTCCTTTTATATTATTATTATTATTATTATTACTCGATTAAATTTCGTTATTCAAAAAAAAACAAAATGTCTGCCATTATTTTTTGTCCGAGTACCACCGATACAATTAAATACATTTCTGTCTTTTCCTTTTTTTTTTTTTTTTTTTTTTTGCCTTTCACGGACGGAAGGGAAGAGAAAAAAGGTTGTCGACAGATCATTTTTCAACTTTTTCCAACCTTTTTTTCTTTTTAGGTAGGCGCGGTTAATTTCAACGTACTTCACGCGCTCATACACGTCATAATACAACAATTGAACATACAAAAATGTTTGGTCGAATTCAAAGGCTACGATTCGGAGAGAATGGAAGGAATCATACTGACGGCAAAACCAGGTAATTTTTCTCACGTGTGTGCGTGCGTGCGTGTGTGTGTGCGGGGTGTGCGTGTGCGCGCGCGTGTGCGTGCACGGGGCGTCATCTAATGCCACGAATCCCATTAATAAAATGGATTCGGAATAAAGACAATTTTTTCTTTCATATCCATTCGTATTTTATGCAAATTCGTTTCGAATATATTTATTATCTTATTTTTATCCGTGCTTGTGTACACAAACCGCACGCGCACGTACCCACACACACACACGCACGCACGCACAATCCATTATTAAAGAGAAAAGAGAGAGAGAGAGAGAGAATTTTTTTTTCTCTTTTTTTCCTTTCATTTTTTTTTTTAATGGGAAAACTTTAGAATTTGACATTTGAAACGCTTTTGTGCTTTTTCTTACCATTATTATTATTATTATCATCGTCGTCGTCGTCGGGGATTTTATTGTCGAAATATTATTATTATTATTATTATTATTATTTTTCCTATACCTTAATCCTATTTTTATAGCATTTTTCGATTTCGATTTAAATTATTTTCACGAAGAAAGACAAAAAATAAATCGTTTTTTTTTTTTTTTAAATTTATAAAACGCGCGCGTTTTTTTTTTTTTTCAAATTTTGAAAAAATCGATCGCGCCAAAATTTTTTTTTTTTTTTTTTTCGTATTTTTTCACTCGGATAATTTTTCATCCGCCATTTTTTTTTTTTTTCCCTTAAAATCTTTTCTTTTATTTGTGTTCGCCGTAGGTAAATTCTCGAGTTAATTTTTTATTCCCGTAAAAAAAAAAAAAAAAAAAAAAAAAAAATTCAAAGGAAAATAAAAAAGGAAAGAAGTTTTTTTTTCCTTTGATTTTTTCCTTTGATAATTGAACTTTTTTTCTCTCTTTACCGAGACGTTTAATTAACAACGACAATAACAACGACCGTGGAAACCCGATGCCATTTTTCCCCCCCCCCTCTTTTTTCCCTTTTCCTTTTCCTTTTATTTCAAAGGAAATAATTATTCTGACAAAGTATTAAAAAGGAAACGGGGAAAATTCTTTTTTGTGCGATGATCAAATTTATCAAATCATATTCAAATAAGAAAATTATCATCGTCTTACGCACGCGCGCGCGTTTTATTTTTCATTTTATCATCATCATTATTATTATTATTATTATTCCCACGCGTTTATTTTTTTATCCCTTTTCTAGAAAGTTCGATCGAACGCACGCGTATTACACGCGTATTAAATAATAATTTTTTTTTTTAATCACTTTCTCACACGCTCTTTCCCTCTTTTATTTCCCATTGTAAATTTTCCATTATACATTACCACACACATATATATATATATATATTTCTCTCTTAAATAATAATGATAATAATAATGATAATAATAATAATAATAATAATAATGATGATGATTAATTATCACGAACTATATCATTTATCGTTTGGGTTAAACGTCAAACGAAACTTTTAGAACAATGCAAAAAAAAAAAAATTTATTTTCTATTCTCTCCATTCCTCCATCCCTCCCTACCTCCCCCTCCCCACGCCTCGTTTTTCGGGATTTAAAACGGGAGATTTATTCATTTTGCAAAACGTCGACAAAAATTTAACGGTTTTTTTTTTTTTTCAAAAAAAAAAATTATTTTTAACGTTTGTTTGTTTCTTTTCGTGTAAAAAAAAAAAAAAAAAAAATTCAGGGCGTACAACAAAAAAAAAAAAAAAAATTAGGGGGGGGGCGGGGGGGGCAATATTACATTGCATGACCGACGGTGGTGTTCGTTCTCCACATACGACTCACATATACCAAACTTTGTGTTTGACTAAATATAAAAATAGATTTATTTTAATTTTAATTAAAATTTTTTTTTTTGTTCTAGAACTTTACAAGAAGGGTGTCTTCTTCCTCCCCCCTCCTCCCCCTCCTCCTCCTCCCCCTGCCACCACTGCATCCTGTTTTTAGTCACAAATAAAATAAATTTATAATTATCTATAAATAAATATTTGACTGACTCTCTTTCTTTTCGTCTTCTCCTTCTTCTTAGCCATTTTAATTTAACTGATTTAGACGAAGGACATAAATTTTTTTTTTTTTTTTAGTCTCCACGTTTTCGACTCTTTTTTTATTTTTTACAGGTCCTATTATAAAATTATCCGAATACATGATCGACTCGAGCGGAAAACAAAATGGCGTACCTGGGAAAACTTCAAAGCGAGAAAACGACAACGATCGCGAAGACGGGGATAAGGATCAATCGGCGTCCGGACCGGACGGTCCGCAATCCGTTCAATTCAAAAAATCACCGCCTTGCTATTGCAACATGAATAAAAGAAAACTACCCGGAGACGATGATAAAGATGACGAAGAGGGAGACAAAAAGAAATCCGCCGCTCTCGCGAAAGACAAAAAAACTCCCGATAAAAAACCGAAAAAAGATGACGAGCGACAAACCAACGAAGATGTCGCCGAACCCGAAGCGAAAAAAATCAAAGAATATAAAAAAAGTTGCCCGTGCAAAGGTAAGTCGGTATCGCGCCCCTTTCCTATTCCCTACTACCCCCCCTTCCCCCCGCGTTCGACCGATGACAACTCGTTTTAATTTTCTTATTTTGCAGTATCGAAGGAAAAGGAAACATTTTTGATCGATGAGGATGTTAAAGCCGCGACTTCTTCCTATTACGGTTCCGACAGCGAAAATTGTCAAACGATTGTGAGAGTCGAACCCGTGGGTGAAAAATGCAACAGTTGGAGAACTAGACCCGCTCTTGCTCACGAGAGTATGGTACAGCTCGAGCAGAAGGTGAGTTTTTTTATTTTTTTTTTTTTTACACCACGTGATCACACACCACGTGATCCCACATCATGAGTTAATTTGTACGTAATTCGAATGATTACTCGGTCAGGTAGCTATGCTACAAGATGCTTTCGAAGCTCTCGAACGAATGCCGACGAACGAAGAAATTAAAAAACGTGCGGCTCCGGGTGGTCCGAACCAACCCACACCCGTTAAAGACCTTTGGCAATTTTTCAACCTTTCGAAAAGAGTCGAATGTTGCGAAGACAGCATCGATAAACTCACGACCCTCATAGAAGATGTTTTAAAGGAAAATTCCAACTTTAAGGAAGCCATGATAGTCATAGCAGACGCAGTCGACGAAGTCGAGTGAGTAAACAGGTTTATCATCATTATCATCGAAATTCACCGCCATTAGTACACATTTTGAATTTGAATTTTAGGTGTGCCGTACTCTCGGGGAAAACAACGTGTTTCACGTCTATACAAGCGCAAACGAATAATCCCTTTACGGTCGTCGCTCAGGATAACAACAGAGATAAACCCTCGGTATCGTTTCAACGGGAAGACGCCACCAGCGGTGGCACCAACACCAACAACACCACCACCACCACCACGACCGCCGCGACCACTTCGAAATGTCTCGAAGGACCTTGTCTCGAAGATAAAAATGGTGGAAAAGATGGACAAACGAGTTCCGGTAATAAAAATCAAACCGGGGGTCAGGACACGGAGGGAGATGAAAATCAAAAATCGTCCGAGGGTTTAAATAGTAATGTCAACAGCGAGGGAAATATCGTGCAGCAAATCGGTATCGGACCTGAATTTTTCAAAATGCCCGCCCCCCAAAAATTTTGCGTTTTGAAGGGAGCCATCGATTGCCTTATACATCAATTTAAAAATTTCAACGAGACTCTTCCGGTGAATCAAATTGCATCCAAAGTAAGTAAGTAATATACCCGAATTCACGAATTAAGAAGGGGGAGGGGGGGAGGGAAAAAAAAAAGTACGTGTCATTCTTTTTATTCTTCTTCCACTTTTTTTTTTTTTTTTTTTTTAGCTCTGCGCTTTGGTGAGCGTTCAAAAACAATTGGACGGATTGGAAAAAGAATGGAGAAGTTTTGCCGAGACGTTTGGCGAAGAGGGAGCCATGAGCGTGCACGCGGACATGGAAACATTTAAAAACGAATTGACTAATTTGAACGGTTCGTTTAAACAATTATCGGTGGATAAACAAGAAATCGAATTGAATATAAAGGTGACGTCACGATTTCTTTCACACTTACTCCCCTCCTGCCACGTTATAAAATCAACCTTTTTAACCTTTGTTTTTCCCTTCCCTTCCCCTCCCTCCTCCCCAAATAGGGTCTCTTAAGCGAGATTGAATATTTGAGACGTACGAAAGTCGATACGGAAATAATGGAAGATATGCTTGCGGAAAAAGCGGATGCATCCGTCGTTAATAAAAAAGTATCACACGATCAATTCGATGCCGCTTGCGACGATTTGACAAAAGGATTAGACGGAGCCCTTGAAAAACTCATGCAGCAAGTTAGTGAGAGAAACGAATCGAATCGATAATCGATCGATACATCGAATCGAATCGATAATAAAAACGTTTTTAAAAAATTTTTTTTTTTTTTTTTTTTAAAGGAAGCCATGTGGAACGAAGCGTGGGAAGAACTACACAAAGACGTTGATAACAAATTGGACAAAAACGAAATAATGCCGTTGAAAGAATTCATAAATAAAAAATTGAAATGTTTGCAAGATAAATTGAAACAATTGACTCAGTTGAAAAAAGATGCGGAAGCTGCCGGAACGAAAACTCGAATACTCAGGTTCGTTGATTGTTTTTTCGTTATACGTCATCATCAGGAATACCAACAAAACAAAAACAAAAACAAAATTTTTTCCCTTTTTTTTCTTCTTTTCGGTTGGCAAACATCGCAGGAACTTGAATTGCATTGCGTGCGACGCGGACGCCATCATGAAAATGGACAACATGTCGAGTTATCGATGTCCCCCACTTCCCCCCTCGAAAACGATTAAACCCATTTTGGCATTCGAACTCGAAAACGTGAGAAAAGCGATGAAAAAAGGACCGTGTAAGGGTACGACACACGTCGAGGAAGCCATAGCGGACGCGCAGAGAAAACTCGGAGGAATACCGCTGACTCAAAAAGAAATAGTCGAGAGCAAAGTGTCCAAGTGAGAATTTTATTTCTGCTGACACGACTCGCTCCTCTTCTCACCCCCTTTATTAAAAAAAAAATTTTTTAAATTACAGGTTGACTCATTTCTGCAATCGGTATTGCGGCGGAAGTCACACCGTGACTACGGCACAACAACGTGTCACCAGAATCGGTCACTTCCTCACGGAATTCGGTCCCCAGGCCATGTCGATTATCGAAGCCGAATCGACAAATCCATTTAGTAATCAGCCTCAAACTTCGACATCCATAGATTTGCAAAAACCTTGCGTTTAAGCATGCGATCGCGAATGGAATTTTTTTATTATTTTTTTTTTTATTTTTTATTTATTTCTTATTTATCGAATATATACATATATACGTATACGTAAACGTTTTTTACACATTTGGATTTCTGAACGCGCACCTTCCCAGCACACCCGCACACCCGCACTCATTTATTTTTACCTTTGAATAAATTCCCCTTTTTATTAAATCAAAAGAAGAAAAAAGACTCGACTCATCATTATTTTTTATCTCACAAAAAACGTATTAAATAACTCGAGATCTTAATTTACAAAAAAAAAAAATATTAAATAATTTTATACGGTTAATTAATATAATAATAATAATAATAATAATAATAATAATAATAGACGTGGATGAGAGATGAAACGAAAGGAAAAAAATCTAAAAATACGACGACGCACTCGTTATAAAAAACGTGTCGCGTTTAGGACTCGTATAAAAAAAAAAAAAAAAAAATTTTGTTTCACGACATAAGCTTTGAGATGACTCAAGATGGAAGACGACGACATCGTTAATAAAAAATTTTATTCATTTTAAACGAAACAACCGTTAAAAAAAAAAAAAAGGGTAACAGCGACAAATGTCGTCATTAAAGTATGAAAATAATAATAATAATAGTTATGACGACGATAATTTTTTTTAATAAAATTTTGTAACAGTTTTCAACCACCTTTGATTAGAAAAAAAAAAAAGTTGGATTTATTATTGTTATTAATCTTTCGACAACAACAAACAACAACAACAAAAAATTTTACAACCCTTAAAACGAGGTCGGTTGGTCGGTTGGTTGGTTGGCAACCCTTCTCAAATTAAAAAGAAAATTTTTTAATCTCTTATTGATGCCTTTTTCTCTCTCTCTCTCTCTCTCTCTCTCTTTCTTTCCCCTCTCTCTTTCCTCCCCCTCTCTCTTTCTTTCCCTCCCTCTCTCTCTCTCTTGATTTTTTCCGCTCGTTTAAAGAAAATCAACATGAGTGTCATCATCATCATCATCATCAACTTTACCATTAGCATTACCATTATTATTATTATTTTTGTTTAATAATTCAAAACGATAAACTCGACGGGCAATAAAGTAACGATCTAAACGAAAAACAAAAATCCCAAAACAAACAATAACAAACAAACAAACAAACAAACAATAACAAAGTAAAAATATATTCAAGAGTGTTTATTTTTAAAGAGAGAAAAAAAAAAAGAAAAAAAGTTTGAGGAGCGTTGAAAATCTAATGAAAATTATTTGTTATTAATTACACTCCTAACCTAACAACAACAACAGCAACAAACAACAACAACAACGTGTTGTTGTTGTTGTTGTTTCTGACGTGCAAAAAAAAAAAAAATTAAAAGTTAAAAATGTACTTGAGAGTAATTTCTAAAAACATAAAAAAATTGTTTGCTTTTAATTTTTTCTTTTTTTTTCGAACGGGGGGAAAACAAACAAACGAACAAACAAACAAACAGACAAACGAATCGAAATAAAAATTCCAGTTTATTATTGTCATTAAAAATAACCAACGACGACGACGACGACATCATCTTAGCCGGGGGGGAGGGGGAGGGACATCAATGAAAAAAAGAGACAGTTAACAACGTCTGTCTGTTTGTCTGACTGTCTGTTTGTTTGTTTGTTTTGTCTAAATAAAAATATATTCAGATGAGGGACCGAGAGAAATCGATATCGAAAAAAAAAAGTAAATCTACTTCCGCTCGTTCGAGTTCCCCTTCGTTAAACTTCCGATCTATTTACGGTACAAATTTTTTGATTCTCTCTTAACAAACGAAGAACTATCCCCTCTCCCCCCTCCCTCTCTCTCTCTCTCACTCATTTATATCATTCCCGTGCATCTTATCTTTTTTTCCTCTTCTTTTCTTTTATTAGATTTTTATTTATGAACATCACCACCGTCTGTTGACTTTTTTTTTTCTGTTCCGCCCCCCCCCCCTTCTCTCTCTCTCTCTCTCTAGCCTTTCCCTTCTCATGCAAAGTAAAAAATATTTTCATCTTACCTTTAGCAATCTTTTGCAGAATGATTTCCTTGTGCCTCTCGGAATGAGGTTCCCCGATGACGATGAGCAAATAACATCCGGTGAGAGGCGAGAGCGGAGGATGAGCCGGCTTTCGTCGTCCCGAAGAATCCCCCAAAGATTCCGACGTTGATTGATCCAAATTCGAGGACGACGGTGGCGGGGGTGGATCTTCCGTTAATCCAACCGTGTCGGACGGTTGGTTGTTCGGATTTTCCATTTTTCCTCGAAAGAAAATTCGAGAACTTTTTTTTCTCCTTCACTCTCGATGCGATTTTACGAATCGAACCTGCGTGAAAAAATAAAAAAGAAAAAAATATTATTTTCCATTACTACGACACTTTCGCGACGACCACGACAACAACAACAACAACAACAACCATAATAATAATAGTAATAATATTAATAATAATAATAATAATAATAATAATAATAATAATAATAATAATAATAATAATAATAATAATAAATTTTTAATAATTTTTCTTTCAATTAATACGTTTAATTAAACGAAACCACCACCAACTTGAAAGTTTTTTTTTTTTCCCATTTTCATCATAGCTCGCTACTCCTGATTGTTAATAATAATAATAATAATGATAATAATAATGATAATAATAATAATAATAATTTACTATTTAAATCTTGGATGAAAATTTTTTTTTTACATTTTATGTACATAATTTAAACGTTTGAAATTTTTTTTTTTTTTTTTTTTTTTAAACTTTTTACAACGAAAAATTTTCAGCCTTTGCCTAACACGGCGGTGGGGTCGGAGGATGAATGGGGGGGAATTGGGGGGGGAGGTAAGAGCACATTTTAATATAAATTTTTCAATTCCCATTCAAAAAGAACTTATTTGAATTTAAAAAAAAAAAAAAAAAAGGAAAAAAGGCAAGTTTAAATTAAATTTTATCAAAGTTAAAAAAAAAAAAAATTACATCATCTTTTTTCCTTCCCCTCCCCTCCCCCTTCCTCCTCCTAACGAAAGAATAATAAATTCGCGTATGAAAAAAAAATTTTTCCCCCCCCCCCAAAACCAACAAACAAACAAAGGAAGGAAAAAAATTTTAATCCCGGAATTGTCAATATTATTATTATTAACAGTTCAAATCACTCTTTTGGTCTCGATAATATAAAATTTTCGATACCTTTTCTTCCATAAAAAAAACTTCAAACATTGATTTAAACAAACAACAGCAACAAACAACAAACAACAAACAACGTTTCTTATCATTAATCTTTCATAAGAATTAAAAATGTTTTTAATAAATTTTCTTAATACATAAATATTCATTCTTTCGTTCGCCACGCAATTAAAATTTCGGGGGGGGGGGTTTGTATAATTGAATCAATTCCGAATTTTGGTTATCACGTATTATTATCATTATTATTATTATTATTACTATTATTATGAATGTTAAAAAGGAATCCTTCGAATGAAATTATCATTTGTGAAAAATAACAAAAGATTTATGAGGAAAATATCATCCGAACAACCGACACAACTCCATTTTAAATTAAATTGAGGAAAAAAAACAAATAAATGAAGATGAGAGTCTTATAACAAAATCCTTTGATCACGACGATCACAATGATAATAATAATAATAATAATAATAATAATAATAATAATAATGTGAATGATATATCTATATATATATTGTAAATCCATTCGTATTTATCATTATCATTATTATTAATATTATTATTATTATTGAATAACGTTATTGTGCGTGGTTAATAAAACAATAAAAATTTAAATTTATCGTACACGTGCACGCACGCACGCACGCACGCACGCAGGCACACGAAAAAAAATTAAATTTAATTTTATTTTAAGGGGTAAAACGTAACACGTAAAAAAATTTTTTTTTAAAAAAAACCCAGAGAAGAAAACGTTTTCGAAAATGTGGGGGGCAGTGTGGGGAGCGGGATGAGGGTGTGTGTGGGAAATTTGTGGTAATTTTCTGTCGAAATTGAGAAATTGGAAAGGAAAAAAAAAGAACTCCCCTTTTAAAATTAAATTTTTTCCCTTTTTCTCATAAATTGTAAATTTTTTGCAGAATTGACCAAAAAAAGTTACTCCCCCTCCCTCCCTCCCACCCACCCCCCACCAGAAAAAAAAGGAAGGATTCTCGAAAATTCTACTCCAAGAGATTATTAATAACCTTATGCTAGAGGGTAGAGGTTGGAGAGTAGGGGGGATGGTAAAAGGACGAGACATTTTTATGTTTATCACCGTTTTTTGGAAGGGAAGAAAAAAAAGTCAAAAAAAAACGTTAAATTCCGCCATATTTTAAAAAAATAAAAAAAAGAGAAAAAAATTTTTTTTTTTGTCGTGGCACTAAATTTAAAATTAAATCCACCGACGATGGAAAATAAGCCGGCGACAATTTCACGTAGTAAACGACAAAAATTAAATTTAATTTTTTTTTCTCTCTCTCTCTCTCTCTCTTTACGATCCCTACCCCTACCCCCCGCTCCCCCCCCAACCAATTCGAAAACTTTAAAAAAAAAACAAAAAAACGTTCAATCATCATCATTATTATTTTATTCAAAAACTTCATTTTTAACATTTGAATATTCTTCGTTCGTTTTAAGTTGTTGTTGTTGTTGTTGTTAGTTCGATCGTAATAAGTTTTTTTTTTTCTCCCATAAAGAAAAACTTTTCCGTTTGAAAACTCAATTTTAAATCCTTTCTCTCTCTCTCTTTTTTTTTTTTTCAATAAATTTACTTTCTAAACTCCATATTTATATTTAATGATAATAATAATAAAAGCTCTATTTATATTCGTTTTTGATTTTAATTTATTATAAACGTTTTTTTTTTAAATTTTTTCACGCTTTCTTTAACGTACGAATCGTTTATTAAAATTAATACAGGTTTTGCATAAACATAAAATTGAAGGGGTAAAAATAAAAAATTTTCCGCCCCCCCCCCCCCGTTTGGTCTCTTGAACGTTTCGACTCCTACTACTACCACCACCACCACCACTACCCTTTCGACGTCACGAAATTTTCATTTTGTTCTTCCCCAGCCCCCAGCCCCCGTCCCCTTCCCCTCCGGTAATCGAAACGTAAAAAAAAAAATTAATTCGAAAATGGCTGATGTAAGGGCAACAACAACAACAACAACAACAACAACGACAACCACGGATTACATTTACGCCTTAAATACGATCGAGTACGTACGTAGGAATTAAAAACCTTATGACGTCACAATTCTAGAAATTTCTACGCTATTATTATTATTATTATATCGAAATCCTACCAACGCTACGAAAAATTAAAAAAATTTGAAATCAATTAACGATTATAGTAATTCGAGTGGCGATAATAATGATGATGATGATGATGATGATGATGATTGATACCAGGTAGTTTAATTACTCACGCAATTACGTTTTTTGTTCGAAGTTGTCGACGACGACGCTAATAAAATTAGCGCGACGATATAACAGCGGATTTTTTTTTTTTAAATTAATTTCACCGGCGGCGGTTGTTGTTATATATATATATTCGATTTTAAAAACGGATACCTTGTTTTTTTTTAGGTTTTTTTGTGTGTTTTAAAAGCAACAAAATTCGCGAGAGGAAAATTTCTAACCGACTGCGCACAGTTATAATGCAACTGTTATAACACCGGCTGAAGGTGCCGCAGGCTGTCATTGCGACGCCGCGCGACGCCACGCAGACGCACGATTGTTATCATTTATTGGGGGAGAAATCTATCGGAGAAAGTTCAAGATGGAGGACGAAAGAAAGATCGATAAACGACAAAAAAAATATTAAAAAAAATTCTTTTTTTTTTCAACCCCCTCCCCTCCCCTTCCCTCCCCTTTCATGTTCTCTCTCTTTCTCTCCCTCTCTCTCTCTCTCTCTTTTTTTTACCTCCTGCATGATTTTAATGACGAAATTCGAAATTGATTTATTTGAAATTCGTAAATGTACCGCCTCCCACCTCCCGCTTCCCGCCTACCACACCTCGCAGAAACTTATAAAAAAAAATCCCCTTTTTTTTTTATAATTAATGGAGAGGGGGGGTGAGAAAAAAATTCTCTAATTCCCTTTATGTTATTCTCCCACCCAACCTACCCCCCCATCCCCACAATAACAACGACGACGACGACGAAGAACAAAAACGCAAAATTATAAAGTAAAATATATTTTCCGACAGCAGTATTAATAATAATAATAATAATAATAATTCTTTTCATAAAACTTATTGAATGCAACAGTAATAATAATAATAATAATAATAATAATAATAATGACGATATTGTTGCACAAAATTATAAATTCTGCATTGGATTTTTCTCCGCACGATTGGCGGGTGAATGGCAAATGTTAATTATGCAAAAATGATTTTTCCTACTGCTGTCGTCTGCTTGCGTCGATGCCGCCGCCGTCGCCACCACCACCCCGACATACCGTATTATTCGTATTATAAAATTAAATTAAAAAAATAAAATAAAATCAAATTTGTTCCTCATTCGAAACGAATTTGTAAAACTAAGACACACACAAAGGATTTAATTATTTACAAAATATAATAATAATAATAATAATAATGAAATGAAGTCGTTGCTGCAATCATCATCATCATCATCATCATAATTATTATTCCACGTTTACCAAAAATAATAATCATAATAATAATAACAAGGTAAAAAATTTTGTCCTCACGCATCTTCACAAATGAATTACTTTAAATTTAAATTCTCTCCTCTCCCTCCCCCCCCCCAAAAAAAAAAAAAAATTTTAATTAAATTTTCTACTGGAAGAATCAATCTGGATTCGATCCAAAGTTTCATCTCTCTCCCTCTCTCTTTCTCTCTCTCTTTCTAAGTGGTCCTCCCGGAAAAAAAGTAAATAAATCGACAACATGATAATTTTTAAACAATGACACACTCTCTCTCTTTCTCTCTCTCTCTCGCGAGAAAAAATTTTTTTCCCTTTTACCGTCACCAAAAGATCAAAGAGAGAGAGAGAGAGACGCACACACACACACACACGCACGTATTAAAAAAAGACAGAAAATGTTTTTTTTTAATTTTACCATATATATAAATATACACGTTCGTATTAATTTCGTCTAGACTCGAACTTTGACAATTTTTTATTGACCCCGAAGAATTTTTTTTCATTTAGATGCATCCATCATATCGATTCGAATTTCTCTTTTTAACTACACCAATCAATTCCTTTGTAATAAAAAGAAAAAAGGAAAAGAGAAAAAAAAGGGATAAAAGAAAAATAGAAAACCTTTTCGTTAACCTTTTTCCTTTTTTTTTTTTCCCCTTTAAGGGATATGCGTCAAAATCGGGCTTTAAAAAAAAAAATAAAGCTAAATACACTTCGTTCACCCTTGAAAAAAAAAAAATTTTCTCTCATTCGATTACGAAAAACTTTTCTTTTTTTTTTTCCCCATTATATTTATAAACCTGGAAAGTAGTGGACGGGGAGTGGGGGATAGGGAGAGAGGGGAGCTAACGGGGAGAAGTGGAGGTGGAGGTAAAATTTTTTTTTTTCCTTTTCAAAAAAAAATAAAAAATAAAACGAGGCCGAAAAAAAAATCCATTCGACAATTCGAAAATTATAAAATGGAAGACGTTTTTCCTTTTTTTTTTCCTTTTTTTTCCCTGTTTCGAAACATTAATATTCCGTTACAAAAAAAAAAAAAAAAAAATTAAAATGTTTCGAAACACTTGTTGAGTTTTTTTTTTTTTTTTTACCTTTTTACGAAATCCTTTTTAGTTTCTTTCGTTTTTTTTTTTTTTTTCAGGTAACCATAAAATTCATTTGATTTTATCTACCCTCTCTTTCCCCCTCACTCCCCTTTCTCTCTCTCTCTCCCCCACATCTATTTATGCACGAATCGTAGTAGTAATAATAATAATAATTTTTTCCCCAATCATTTGTTTATTTATTTATTCGCGATAACAAACAACAACAACAACAAAAAAAAAGTGAAATAAATTCTTATACTCTGGATTAACTTTCACGTGTAAAGGCCAAAGGTTATTCCAGCCGGGATAAGTTTCCATGACAACAATTTCTATCTTTAAATTTTTATTTAATTTTTTTCTTTTTTCTTTTCCCCACTCCCCCCTCCTACTTTCCCCGTTTCCCCGTTTCCCTTCCCTTTCTCTCCTCCACTCAACTTATTTTTTTTTTTTTTTTTTTCAAAAAATAAGAAATCAAAGAATAAGGGTAAGATGTAAACGTTCGGGGAATGGGGGATGGGGGGAGCGAAAGAGTTCGAGGGAGCCGCATTGCAATGGAGAGGGGCGTGGAAAGAGGCAAAAAAAAAAAGGAAAATGAAAAACAAAAAAAAAACGACAGCGACGCCGATGAAAAAACAAACAAAAAAAATTTTTCAAAGCTCGGCTTTTCTCATTTCTATTCAAAACCGTTGTTGGGGGACCGGGGCCGGGGCGTCGGGGCGGGGAACGTGGGACCGGAGATTCATCATCGATTTTATTTAAATTACTACCGGGTTTTAAACCTTTCAAATGTTAACAACATGTTTTATTAGATGAAAAAAAATATTAGGGGAGACAATTTCCCACTCCCCGTATTTTTCACAAGGACCGGACATCAAACAATAATAATAATAATAATAATAATAATAGTAATAAAAGTATAGATCAAAAAAAAAGGTCAAATTTAATAATAATAATAATAATAATAATAATATCTTTTCCTCTTTTTTTGTCGTCATAGTAATGATAATAATAATTATTATTAGGAAATATAAAAAAACAAACATTCGAGATCTCTCATATATATAGGAAAAATCTGGGGGGGGGGGGTTTGGGAAGGAAAATTTTTTTTTTTTTTTTTAATATCGTGACAACGAAAAGGAAAAGGAAAATGAAAATGAAAATGAAAAAGACTTCTGCATTTCATGTTTGTCTGCTACGTAAATTTCCCACTTGAAACCTGCTAACTGCGTTTGAGCAATCAATTTTTATTTTAAAGACTTTACGTTTTAATTTTTTTTTTGTCCTTTTCCCACTCGTTCCCGTTTTTTCCCCATTTTCTTTTCGAAAATTTTCTTTTTTATAATTTCCTGATGAAAATATTTCGTTTTTTTGTAGAAATTCCTGTGTTCGCCGCCGTCACTCCGTTTTGTTTTCCATTACTTTATTTCTTTTTTTTCTTTTCTTTTCTTTTCTTTTCTCCCTCATTTCTCCCCTCCACCTCCTCCCTTTTATGTTTTTTTTTTTTTTTCCAAAACGTCTCTCTTCTTCGTGTTTTATTTATTTACTTCGTTTCGATTTACGTAAGAAAATGAAATAATAATAATAATAATAAAACCGAAAACCCGAAAGAGCTTTAAACATTTTTATTGTTTTTTTTTTTTTTTTCCTTTATTTATGAATTGACTCATTATTGTTTTTTTCTTGTTGTTTACTCCCGTAAATAATAATAATGATGATGATAATGATAATAAATGCGAGAACAACTTTTGACCCGGTATTGTTTTTTTTTTTTTTTTTTTTCCTATTTTAAATCAACTTCCCGCGTGTGTTGTTTTTATAAAAAATTAGAAATAAAAACAAAATGGCGATTACGTTTATTAACATAATTACGTAATTTTTTAAAACTCGTTCATCTCGAACGAGTAGCCACCGTCGCAATCAATTCACATACAAATATATATAAATAATCTTATCATTATCACACACACGAGGAGGCCTGATAACAACGTTTACGATCGAATGTTAGAAAAAAAAAAAAAAAAAATACGCACAACGCGTAGTGTCAATCGCGATTCGGGTGTCGACTCATAATAACATTTTACGCGCCGCGTTTTGTGTTCTTTTTCTCCGTGCGTTCGCGTAAATTTTTTCTTTTTTTTAAATATGGCGGAAAACGGACAACAGTTCGATTCGAATTGCATGACTTTAACGCGTTTCGTTTTGGCCGAACAGAAAAAATACAAACATGCCATCGGTGATTTGACTCAGCTTTTAACGAGCATACAAACGGCTATAAAAGCCGTGAGCACGGCCGTTAGAAAAGCCGGCATTGCTAAATTGTAAGTTAAACGATCAATTTTTATCCTGTCTGTTTGTTTCAAACAAACGAACAAACAAACAAACAAAAACTCGCGGAATCGCACAACCAAAAAAAAAAATAGATAGAAGGTCAAAATATCAATAGATTAATATAAAATAAAAAATTATCTCAAATTACGAATACAATATATATAACCTTGTTTGTTGTTTGTTAGCGGGGGGGGGGAATTAGAAACCCCCTTCCCCTTCCTCCCTTTAAATGTATATTTAAAATATTTGAAAAATAACTTTTTCGGTTTTTTTTTTCCCATTGTAACAAAAATATTTTTTTTCAAGTTATTTCATCATCATCATCATCATCAATTCGTAATTTTCTGTTTAAAAGTTAAAAATTTTAAATGTTAAACATTTATCATTATTCAAAAAGTTATCCTTATTATTATTATTATTAGTTTGACAGTCATCTCTTCAAAAAAAAAAAACTTTTGAAAATTATTTTCTGCTCAAAAATTCTTCCTGTTAAAATAATGTTCCCTCTTCATCCTCCTTCTCCTCTGTGTGTATTCTCCGTTTCGTTGGTTTCACGGTCGAAACGTTAGATTTAGTAGTATTATCATTATTATTATTAATCAGATACGGAATAGCAGCAACTGCAACAAACGTTCAGGGTGAAAAAGTTCAAAAACTCGACGTCCTTTCCAATGAACTTTTCATTAACATGATGAAATCATCTTATACGACTTGTTTGATGGTGAGCGAAGAAAACGAAACCGTTATCGAAGTGGAAAAAGACAAACAGGGAAAATACGTCGTTTGTTTTGATCCCTTGGATGGTTCTTCCAATATCGATTGTTTGGTCAGCGTCGGTTCTATTTTTGCCATTTACAGGTAAAATTATTATTTTTTCTCGCGTTTCCTGTCTCGATTTCCATCGTTTTTTCTTAATTTTTTTTTCTTAAATAAATTTTCCAGAAAAGAACACGACGGTTTTGCCACGGAATCCGATGCTTTAAAACCTGGAAAATCATTGGTCGCAGCTGGATATGCACTTTACGGTTCGGCAACCATGATGGTTTTATCTTGCGGAGCCGGAGTTAACGGTTTCACACTTGATCCGGTACAACCAACAACGAAAATAAACACTTTAAATCATCATCATTATCATTTGGCGATTAATTAATTCGTCTTTACGTTGCAAAACAACGCGTGTGTTCAATATTACGAAATACAATAATAATAATAATTATTATAATTGTTTTCAGGCAATCGGAGAATTCGTTTTAACCGAGCCTAACATGAAAATACCATCTAGAGGAAAAATCTACAGCATAAACGAGGGTTACACGTATTTATGGGACGATTGCATACGCGAATACGTTTCGGAAAAGAAAAAATTAAAAAATGGTGGCAAACCCTACGGTTTGAGATATGTCGGTTCCATGGTCGCCGACGTTCACAGAACTCTTAAATACGGTGGAATATTCATGTACCCATCGAGTACCGATGCTCCGAACGGAAAGGTAGGATGTGTTTGTCGTCGTCATCCTGTTGTATCACGACAGCACTCTATCCATCACCATCCATTTTTTTTTTTCCAGTTGAGACTCTTATACGAATGCAATCCGATGGCTTTTATCATAACCCAAGCTGGCGGATTGGCGAGTGACGGTTTCAAAAACATATTGGATATACAACCCAAGAAAATCCATCAGAGAAGTCCCATTTTTCTCGGTTCGAAAGATGACGTAGAAGATATTTTAAACATAATTAAAAAACATGGCAAATGTTATGACGTAGTTGTGTAGCTCTAAGTATGACGTAATAAATTTTTCCGGTATTTTAAATAATAATAATAAATGATGTTATAAAAGTTAATTAAAAACAAAAAAAAAAAAAAATTTGTTTGTTTAACTTATGGCGTGCAAAGTAATAAGATTTAAAAAAAAAAAAAAAACTGAAATGATTGAATTAATAAAGTCATTAACGTTTATTTAATAACTTTTACTATTTAAACCATTTTCTTCTTCTTCTTCTTCTTCTTCTGTAAAAACTTGAAAATTTTTCACTCGAGATTATAATAATAATGATATTAATATGGTTAAAAAAAACTCTGTTGTTATTCTGCTTTTTTTGAAATTTTATTACTGTTGCTGTTGTGTGTATACACAATCCGAAGTTGTTTGAATTTTTTTTAGATAATCGTCGATTTTATTTTTAATTCTTCGCAAGCATTTCCCTTATATCTCTCCATTATTTTATAAACTCTTCTGTGACATTTTTGTATTGCTGTCTCCGACAATAAATCTTGCCAATGAAGTTTCGGTTTCACGTGGATTTTTTGTTTAATGGCTCCACCAAGAGTGCTGCATCCCGAACATTCCGTCACCGAACCACTTTCGCACACGTGTATTAAATATTTTTCATTGTCGTCAAATGATATGCTATCGGATATGTCTTGAAATTCGTGTATTATCACATTATTATTATTATTATTATCCGGTTTTACTTCTTCTTTTGCACCTTCTTCTCCTTCTCCTTCTTCTTCTTCTGTTTTAAACTCTCTAGATTTGCATATGGGTATGGGATCGAGTTTTAAATCGTAAACGACAGTCCTCACGGGTCTCGATAAATTAAACGATCGTAATTTTTTTAATTTATTCCTATCGACCATCATGTTGTAAATTTGTTGGCAACATTTCGGCGATTTATGTTTCGAATCTAATAATTTTAAATTTCTTACGTGAGTCTCACGTACGTTTGTTTTGTAAATATCCTCTCCCTTCTCCTCCTCTTCCTCCTCCTCCTTCTTCTTCTTCTTTGCCTCTTCGGATTTTTTTTTACACTCATTTTCAAATTGTTTTTCTCGAAAAATTGAATTTTTAAAATTTTTACAGGAGATGGCGGTCCTTTTCGGATAAATTATTCTATCATTGAATTTAGGTGGGTTATAACAAGTGAAAAATTCTCCGCCATCTCCCATTTTTTTTATTTTTTTTTATTTTTTTAATATATTTTTAATTATTTTTATTTTTATTTTTATTCGATTAAAGCAGACGACAATTCACGCACGATTCCATTATCGACCAAAGAGTTTTCAAAATGAATTAAAATTTTTTGTTTTTCATTAATAAAAATTTTTTCCTCAATACGATTTTATTATTATTTTTAATTCATTTTATAAAATAATTTTTTACGTAATACATTTTCCAATGCTCGCTAATATCAACTTAAAAAGTTATGTAATAACTTGGCGCTAAAACTACTTATCAGTTATTTATCAATGTTTCTACTGCCACGAACTTTGTCCCATGTTTATAACAATGAATTGTAATTTAAATAACAGTTGGTAAATTATTAAACATAACATGGGGAATAATTCAGGAAAAAAAGATGTCGATCCGTGTCAAAAAAATTTAGATGAATTATTTTTTACAATTTCGAATAAGAAACCGAGCATACATCGTAATGAATTAAAAGTAAGTATCAAATTGTATTAATATCAAAAATAAAAAATGTCTCTCTCTAGTTATTACATGCACAATAATAATAATAAATGCTTTGAAAATTTTTAAATAAAAGTATAAAGTTATAGTTTTTGGTTTGTAATTTCAGAAAGCCTGGGAAAATTCAGTTGATACTGATTTATATAATTATTTAGAATTATATTTGTTTAAGTCTCATCAAAATGAATTATCATGTCAAACATTTAAAAAATTTTTTTTCGATATGTGTAAGGGAGGTGTAGATGTAAAAGTCGAAGTATTGAGCAAATTATTGGGGGGTGAAGAAAATGGTATTATATCTAAAATAAAATTAATGAATGTGAGTAATTTACTTTTTGGTTATTTGCCAATTAATAACTTTCTATTTAAATATTTCATTTGTTAATTTTTTTTTTGTCAACAGTTTGTCAAAAGTATTTTAAACAGTATTTTAATTATTCAAAAGTATAAAGCAGTTAAGAGATATGAATCGTGGAGTAGTCGAATGGGTCAAAGCGAACCTGGATCATCAGTAAATGAATATGCCAATTACTTTTTGGATAAAATACACAAAAGTGAAGAAAATCAGTATTCGAAAAATGATCTATACTCTTTGTTAAATTATTTCGATTATTTTCTCTATATGGTTTTAAGTAACTTGTATAATTCAGAAGACAGACATTTTTATTCGAATTTATTACCCAAATACAAAAGTAGTCAAGTTGATGTAGGAAAAAAATTAAGTGATTTTTCAGTATTGAATTTGCTTCATGTGATTTTTTTGAATTTAGAATTACCCGTTGATTATCAAAGCGAATGGCGACCATTGTTTAGTTCAAAAGTAGATGGAGAAAGTTTTTCCAGGTTTGATAAAAAAAACATTGGACTTTGTGAGAAAAATATAAAATTAAAGTAAAAAAAAAAAAAAAATGAATATTTTGTTTTAGACTTTTAGGTCAAATTACAAACCAAGGTCCGACAATAATTGTGATAAAAGATAAGGAAGGACATATTTTTGGTGGTTTCGCTCCCTTCAGTTGGGTTCTGGGACCCAATTTTTTTGGCGATTCGAGAAGTTATTTATTTACTCTATACCCCAAAATGAATATGTTTCCTTCGACAAATTTTAATTCAAATTATCAGTATGTTAATATTAATCAACAAACAATGCCGAATGGATTAGGTATGAAATAATTTTAATTTGGGTTGGCCTTGCTATTTTCTTACTATGAACAAAATTTTTTTTCGGTTTTAGGTATGGGTGGTAAATTAGAATATTTTGGATTGTGGATTGATTCGGAATTTGGAAAAGGATATTGTAGTGAATCTTGCACAACCTACAGAGATTACAAAATGATGTCTGGCAGTAAAGTAATTATTGTTTCAAATTTTCCAAGACAAAATGACAAATGATTGGGATTATTTAAAACTGTTTGAATTTTTTAGAATTTTGAAATATCACATTGTGAAGTTTGGGGAGTAGGTCCACCACCACTTTCACCATCTGAACTGGGGGAGAGAAGCGTATTGGATACTAATTTGGATGCAAAAGCTATACTTGAAATGGCTGGGAAAACCACTTATAGTGAAGGACTACGTGAAGATGCTGAGACTTAAACACCAACAACTTTCATCATGCAAAATCATGCAAACAAAGCTTTAAAAAAGAATATATTCACTTACCCAATGAAAAGTAGAAATTAGAATGATTTCCTTTTTTTTGTAGTATTCTTTTTGAACTTCTTAGTGGTTGTTAATTTCTGTAATTAAGAAAAAATTATTGATTTACAAATAAGATAATAATTATGCAAAATGTACTTAAACAATTATTTATGATAATTATCATCCTTACTCACCTTTCACATTATTTAATCTTTTTAATGTTCAAGTAATGTTTGCTCAAGCATTTTTCTTTATGCCACGATTTTGCATAATATTCTGTTTCTAGATAGTTTTACCATTGCTGTTAAACAGTTTTCCTATCGACGATATACCTTGTTGACTTGATGTTTTATTTTATTGTTCACACTAAATTTCCTGTGCTTTCCGCCATTTTATGCACTTTTGATTTGTAACTGTATGCTCAAATTTTTATGCGTTTGATGACGAATATTGCCTTCTTTTTCACTCACATAAAAGTTTCATAATTAGTTCCTTATTAGTACTTCTTTTTTTTTTTAATTTACCGTTACATTTATCCATTATTAATTGATATTTCTCAAGTTAAATTCCGATTAATTTTTTTTTGATGAGTCTTACTTAGAAAAAAAATTTGAGAGGGAAACTGGAAATTTCCCTCCTTTTTAAAATAATAATTTTTTTTTTTTTTTCATCTTGGCATTCGACGGTATTTCAACGATTTTCTTGTAAAATTTTCATATAAAATATAAAAAAACTAAAAAATATTCATTTTATTTCACTTTCCTCACGTTTTTTAAACACGAATACACTTTTCTTTAAATTAAATTAATTTTTTTTGTGAAGAACATGAATTCTTCGAACTTTTTTAACCGACATTAACTAACGTTAGAAAAAAACGTGGTTAAAGCATCTGCTACCACTTTAATGTAACATTATCATAGAAAATTATTTTAATTTTTTTTTTTTTTTTTTTTATTAAAATGGTTGATAAGTTAAAACGTTATGAAAAAATTGAATTTTTAGGAGAAGGTCAGGTAAATATTAAAATTACCGTCAAATTAATAATTGTTATTTGTTTATTGCAATTACGGAGCAGTCAAAAAAAAAAAAAATTTTCATTTTTTCAAAGAAGTGTTAATTCCTGTTATTGATAAACAAACTCATTAATTCAACAAGTGATCATCATCACCTATATATTAAAAATTATATTATTATATTATGTTAATGTCTCATAAAAAAATAATTTTCATGTTAAAATAAAAAAGTCAACTCGAATAACCACCATTTTATTATTTTGTAAAGATTCACATTATTATTTTTCAAAAAATGATTTATAATCACATATTTGTAGTTTGCAACAGTATACAAGGCAAAAGATGTAGAAACAGATGCAATAGTAGCAGTTAAAAAAATTAAAATAGGAAGTAGAGCAGAAGCCAAAGATGGAATTAATCGTACAGCTCTAAGAGAAATAAAAATATTACAAGAATTAAAACATCCTAATATTATCGGTTTGTTAGGTACAGACAATTTTTAATTTTAAAACTTTTTTTTCATCTATGAATTAATTATTAATTCTTAAAAATAATAATAATAATAATTATGTTTAATCTCATTACAGATGTTTTCGGTCACAGGTCGAATGTGTCATTAGTTTTCGATTTTATGGATACAGATTTAGAAATTATTGTTAAGGATACAAATATAGTTTTAACACCTGCTAATGTTAAAGCATATATATTAATGACTTTACAAGGTCTAGAATATATGCATAATAACTGGTTTTTGCACAGAGTATGATCCTATAATGATTGTAATTATTCGATTTGTATACACCATAGATAATTAAAAAGGGAAAAATTTTTTTAGGACTTAAAACCGAATAATTTATTAGTAAATAGCGAAGGAATATTAAAATTAGGAGATTTCGGTTTAGCAAAATTTTTTGGATCTCCTAACAGAATATATACTCACCAAGTTGTGACCAGGTGGTACAGGTCACCAGAATTATTATTCGGAGCAAGAATATATGGAGTCGGAGTTGACATGTGGGCAGTCGGATGTATTTTAGCAGAACTTTTACTCAGGGTACCTTTTCTACAAGGCGAATCGGATCTTGATCAACTCACAAAAATTTTCCAAGTCTTAGGAACTCCCACAGAAGAAACTTGGCCGGTAATTGTTTGTAATTTTCAAAATTTGTGATTATCTCGAAAGAAAAAAAAAAAAAACGTTTTGTTATGACGTTACCCTTTTGCACTTCGATTAAATATATGAGTTTATTCTTGTAATTATACTTTCCTTTTTTTTTTTTTTTAGGGAATGAAAGGACTCCCTGACTTTATACAATTCAAACCATCGGTTGGAACTTCATTAAGAGACATATTTACTGCTGCAACAAATGATTTATTAGAATTGTTGTCAAAACTCATGGCCATGTGTCCATCACATCGATGTACGGCAACAGAAGCTCTTCAAATGGAATATTTTCGGTAAAAAAAAAAAACTTTTTCCTTTTTTATTTTAAATAAACAATGAACGATTCTAAATGAAAACATTTTATACACAGGAACAAACCTTATCCGACACCTGGGAGTCAGTTACCACTTCCAACCAGTATTAGATCTAGAAAACAAGAAGAAAGACAAACGTTAAAGAGAAAACTCATGGATAATGCTCTCGAAGGAATGTCAGCACCGAAAAAATTAATTTTTTAAATTCGGTTCCTCTTTTTTTTTTTTACTATTATTATTATTATTATTACTTTCTGTCTATTACCAAAATAATGTATGATATGTTTTTCATTTTACCTGTACAATTTATACCTTAATTTTACACACAATAAAAAAAAGGGGGAGGGGGAAATTAAAAAAAAAAAAAAAAAGTTATAAATTTGTAATAATTTTATGTTTCTTATTATAAAAATTTGTTTTTTTTTTTCTCCAAATAAATAATTTTAATTGTGTATAATTATTTTATGCATGTATATACACACGTGGTTGTGACAATACTGTTTGTATTTAAATATTCTTTCGATATAAATTATTATTATTATTATTATTACCGTTATTAATAGTAATCAAAATAAAAAATAATAATTAAATTATTACAAAAAAATGAATTATATAATCGAAAGAATAATTTTTTTTTTTATTAATTATATTTGAAATTTAATTGAGGGACCAAATAATTCGTTATTATTATTATTATTACTACTACAACGAGACGAACGGGAGAATTCGAAATTAAAATTTAAATGGACGTCGTAATAAAAAAAAAAATTCAATCCGTGTTCAATTATTATTAACCTTTAATAATGTTAATTAACATTTTTTTTCCTTTTCTTACCGTTCGTTTTAAAATAAATTTAAAAAAAAAATTTTTTTCTGATTCATTTAAACAATAATAATAATAATAATAATAATAATAATAAATATAAAAGAAATTAAATTGAAACGTTATTTGCCGTTTTTTTTCCCTTATAAATTTCAAAAAAATTTATGTAATTAATTCACCTATGTAATCCCCCCCCCCTTTTTATTCATTTTAACTTTTTTCCAACGGTCCCTCATCCCCCCATCTCCCATCTCCCCTTTTACCCGAACGCTGCTAAATTTTCCGAAACAAAATCATATGTAAGCTTTCAAAAAAAAAAAAAAAAAATTATTTTCTTCTAATATGATGAATAATAATAATAAAAACATGGAGAATGATCATTATTATTATTATTTTTGTGTATTTCATCAACAGGATCCTCGTTTTCGTTATCCAGGTTCGTTTTCCAAACGGTTGTACCTTCGTTTCTACCATGTGATTTTTTTTTCTCCCTTCCAGATCTATGATGGTCATCTTAAAACCGATTCCAGACTCCAAACAAATAATAATAATAATCCATTTGTTATTTTCGTCGACATCATCACGACTGCAACCTTAAAACCTTCCATCATCAAAACCAAAAAAATAAACAAATTTCTTATTTATTCACACACGCACACACACACTTTTTTTTACGTTTAGCAAATTTTTCACCGGTCGGTGGTCGATTTTTAAGCATTTTTTTTTTATTAAACATTATTTTTATTTATTTATTTTTTATTTAAATAAATTTTATTTTTTATATTAAGTATTGAAATTCATTTTAAATCTTTCACTGTTTTTTTTTTTTTTTTTTTTCTTTATATTCTGCGTCCTTTTTTTTTCTTTTTGTTTTAACTGAAGAAAGAAAAGAATGAAAGAAAGAAAGAAAGACAGACGGAAATAAAGAGAAAGAGAAATGAGAGAGAAAGAGAGAGAGAGAGAGAGAGATGTAGAAAAACAAAAATTATTTATCCCGTGGTTAAAAATTTGTCATATGACACACATTTTGTTCCCACGGGTCCCAGGGTTCTTCCCAGGTATTACAATAATCCTAGCTCGTCCTTTGCCTTTTTGCAACCGGATCGTTTTTATTATGTTCCAAAACGTATTTCATTTGCGGCATGTATTTCATCACGTCTCGGACTTGAATCAAAGGAAGATTTTCCGTCTCGGACACGCATTTTCCCGCCAGTCGAAGAGTTTCCATTTGCGATCTGAAATTAACAATAAAATTAAAGTTCTCTCTCTCTCTGTCTCTTTACGTCTCTCTCCCACACACCCACACCCACCTGTTTCCTTTATACAAATTTACAAGTAAAACTTCCTGCAAAATTTTCTGCACGCCTCCGACCGGAGTATTTGGAAAAAAATGCTTGACGAGATCAGGAAGCGTCATGAGGAGGTCAGAGTATATATATGGTTTGGCGTTTATGCAAGGAACCATTTTGTTATCGACTAATACTTTTTTTACCTGCGCGGGAAAAAAAAAGACACAAACATCAAGTTCCACGTTTCCGCGGCGTGTTTCCGTACGACCTCCAGGGTGCCTGACACTCACCTGATAGGGTGCCTGACTTCCCAGTGGTGGAATTTCGATTATTTGTATAAGTTTTTTGCTTCCGGAACTTTCTTTTGAAGGAACACTTCTACCGTTTTGCGGTTGAGACATTTGACTTCGTCTTTGACTCGTTTGATTCGCCGATAAATCTATAACGTCCGGACTCGAGAACGATCCGTACCTGCTCGTACCGTTTACGGGTATCAACGGCGGCGGAGGTTTCGCGTTGCTCCCGTACGTTTGCATTTGAACGGAATTGTTACTCCTGCGTAAAAAAAAAAAAAAAAAAAAAAATAAATCCGACAGTGACCTCCATATTGTTTTTTACTTTTTTTTCCTTCTTTCTTTACTCACTTTTGTTGATTTGAACTACTTCTCGTGGATTGCGTGTTTCTCAATAGGCTGGCCGCATATGCTATGCGATTTGACCTATCCGACTGTAAAACGTGAAGAGTTCCAGGAACACTAGTAGTATTGGTGTACGTCGGCGTTCTGGAAATAAATACATAATAATAATAATAATAATAATAATAATAATAATAAAACCTTTTTTTTAAAGGTTGCTCGTTGAAAAAGGTTTCCAATATATATAAAATCCTATCAAACCTATTACCAATTCATCATCATTTTGCGCGTTTAAAAGCAAAACAAAAAAAAACTAATAAAAAAAAATACTCAATGCATAATAATAATAATAATAATAAAACACACAAATAAATAATTTTTTTTCCTTTTTTTTAAATCTTTTCTTAAATGACATCATGCAAAAAAAAAAATTTTTTTTCTCTCTCTCTCTCTCTCTCTCTCTCTCTCTCTCCCTTTGACTCCCCACGTGAAAAACGCGTGTTTGAAAATTCAAAATGCGTTAGTTTATTAATCGACAGGAAAATTACCCTCCCCCTTCCCCCCCACTCTCGTCCACGATCCTTTTTGCAAAAAGCAAACAAACACGATAGGATAGCATTGTAAGTAAGAGGTAGTAGTAATGGCGCAAATAATTGAAGTTTAAAAGTGCATTGACTCCGGTAGTGAAAGCCTATAAAAAAAAAAAAAAAAAAAATTTTTCTATCTTTCTTTCCCTTTCTTTATTTTTCTTTCTCTTTCTTTCTTTATTTTTCTTTTCGGTTCTAGAAAAAAAATTTCTCTACAGCAAACAAGACCTCAAAATTAATTTTTTTTTTTTTTTTTTTTTGGAAAATTAAACTTTGGGAAACCTTTTTCAACAAAAAAAATTCAAAACCTTTCGCACACTTTGCGTTATCATCATCATTAATTAATATTAAATTTGTTAATAATTATCATTATCATTACATATATAAATATAAATTTTTAAATTAATTTATTTAATTTTTACCCTATCGGTATATTTTGGGCAAGAGTAGCTCTGACTAGAGGAGGTGGCGGTTGTTGAACCATTCCCATTTGGGGAACCTGAAATTAAAAAAAAAATGTGATAAAAAATTTTTTCTTTAAAAAAAAAAAAAAAAAGTTTGTATGTGTGTGTGTGTGTGTGTGCGGGGTACGGAGATGGAAATTTGGATCCGTGTCCAACTATAAAATGGGAGGAAACATTCAAACACGAAAAACAATTAATCAGATTTTTCTTTTCTTTCTTTTTTTCTTTTTAATCATTTTCAAAATGTCGGATGATTTTCCAACGATTGGGGGTGGGGTGGGGTGGGGGAAAAAAAAAAAAAGAAAAAAAAATTTATATATATTTATCAGAAAATAATTTTATTATTCTCGTTTATAACTGACATTTTTTTTACATTACATTCATACAACACTACAACAACTACAACATTGACAAATATTAACAAATAAAAAAAAAAAAAAAGAAATGAAATTTACAAACATGAATGCACAAGAACAGAGAGAGAGAGAGAGAGAGAGAGAGAGAGAGGAGAAATACTCATGTGTAAAAAAAAAATTTTTTTAATAACTATAATAAAAAAAAATAAGCGATACAAACAAACAAAACGCGGGCACACAATAAAAAATAATAATAATAATAATTAACTCTCAACGAATCGGAAAAATTAAAAACTTCCAGATGAGGGAGAAGGGGAGGGGAGGGGAATCAATTAAAAGCTGCAAAAATGAAAAAATGAAAACTTTTCCTTTTCCTTTCATCTTCTTACAAAAACAAACATAGGGTGGTTTAGTAATATAAGGGGGTCAAATGAAAAGTGTTTTGTCGAATCGTTAAATTACACAATTAAACAATAATAATAATAATAATAATAACAAGTCCAACAACTAAAAATAATTTGTGTAATTTAACAAAAACAATGGCGCACCCACCTGAGGATAATAGTATGCTGCCGAATTCACAGCCGGTCCGGGCCTTGGTCTGATGTTGTTGAACGTGGTCGTAGCAATCATTTGGAAAAAATACGAAATTTGAATTTTATATATATAATAATCAACGAATCCAAATGTAATTTCCCGCTCATTATTTACCCCTCCCCTCCCTCTCCCCCCTCACACAAAAAAACAAAAATTTCGTGTCGGCCCAACGTAGGGTAAAATTTTGCAAAATGGAAAACATTTTTTTTTTTTTTTTTTGTACCCAATTTCAACATGTCTATTCAATTATTTAATGGCGTAAAAAAAAAACAAGAAGAAGAAAGAGAAAAGAAAAAAAAAAATTGGTTTTGCTTTCAAGGAATGACTTGTTTTTGAAAAGAGGGAGAGAGGGGGGGAAAAAAAAATTACGATTTGTCATGACTAAAATTTTTTTTTTTTTTTTTTTTTTTTTTCAAGGCCCCAACTAGTTTAGCGTGATTCTGTCTGTCTGGTAAACAACAAACAGATACGTTTATTATTAAAGACGAAGAAGAACAAAGAAAAGAGAAAAAAAAAAAAATGGACGGTGGACGTACTATGGAATTTCGGCCTCACCGTGGCAGCAAATTTCGAAAAAAAAAAAAAACAGAAAAATTAAAAACTTGAATCCGTTCAATAATTTTTTACGCGCAAAGAATAATTCAACAAAATAATACATTAAATACCATTCCTCCTTCTTCCTCCTTCTCATAAATCCTCCCCCACCTCCCCGTCCCCCGTTAAAAAAAAAAAAAAACAAAAATCGGTCGGGTAAGAAGAAAACAATCGACAACATCGGAAACTCACGTTGTTTTGAAGCGACTGAGCTTGGGCCATGCGAACGATGTTATTCTGCTGCGATACCATGGCTTGATACTGTTGTCCGCTAATGATATTGGCAGCCGCCCATCCGTTTATGACGGCCGCGGGAAGGTTTCCGTGAGGTCCCGGAGTTCCCGCCATCGGCGGAGTGTGCGTCACGGGAACGCTTCTTTGAATGGGAGCAACGGGTTTGGTCACGGAGGGTGGCAAAGTTCCCGCGGGTTGTTTGGTCCAACTCGGATACGGATTTTGATTTTTCGACGTTATGAGGAGTTGACTGTCGATGACTTTGCTCGGCCAGTAGTCTTCGAACGACGTGCCCGCGGGAAAATAACTTTTTATGTCGTTTAAACTTATCACACTGCACGTATCGCTTGAGAAAAGTTCGTTTTTTATACCCTGAACTTTGCAACAGAATTTCAAATAAGCCAAATCCCAACCCTCGAGTTTTTCCGCTTTCAATTTCAAACTGTCCGTTTCACCCTCGAAATAAAACAACGGAACGTACTTGTTACTGTTTCGTATGGTATAGGGCACGACACTTTCACCGTTTATCCTTATGAACCCGCATTTGTCTCTCGGATTGTTCGAACTGAGTACCAATTTGTTGTAGCAAACGTCCAGAAAATTGTAAAATTCCGCTGCGTCTTGCAACCGCACCACCAAATCCTTGTTTGTAAAGTGATCCCGACCGAATTGCGCGTCGCAATGCCGAACGTTTATTTCGTTCAAAACTCGAGCTTCCGCATCCGTTATGTAGTAGCTACGTATACATGTGCAATTATATATGTCCGGGTGTAAGTAACTTAAATATTTATTAAGCAATTTACTTTCGACCATGCGAACGGCCGTGTACTGTTCGCCCTGTCGTATGATGTAGGGTATGAAAGCTTTTCCCAACGTCACCCAACCGAATCGTCCCCGCTGACTCTCCTCGTCTATCACCTTTTTATTCTCGGGAATGTTCGCAACTCCTTTTTTATCCCCCAATTTCGAATTTAAATTTATCTTATTGACAATATTCAAAATTGAATTTTGATTATTGGCAAATATTTGACCCTGCAACGTTACGCGATTCGCGTTCGCGTTCGCGTTCGTGTTCTGTACGGCAGCGGATTGATTGGCGGCAAGCATTTTCGCCTTGTTGGCTTCGAACATTTTCGCTGCTAATTCCCTTATTTCCGCCTCATCGGGTTGTTCTTCTTTGATTTTCGTCGTCGATGAACTGTCGAAAGCAGGGGTCGTACCTAAAAAAAAAAAAAAAAACACGCGGAATGACCATCACGATTACGTTTAATTATATTTTTTAACACTACATTAAAAAGTCTACATTATTTTCTTCGTACGAATCGGGAAAATTTTAAAAAATTTAAGGCGCGAAAAAAAATGATAATAATAATATATATGTACAATTTTCTTTGGGAAAAAATAAATCCATTATTTTTTCACACGGAGTAAATGTTTTCATCATTTTATTCCTCCTCACACCAACCAGCCAGTAGCCAGTCACCATCCACTTAAGAAATGAGTCATTTCATCCCGTTTTTCCCAGGTTTTCCTGACGTAAATCTGACGACTCCCATCTTTTCTCTTTCTTTTTTTTTTCTTTCTTTTTTCTTTCTCTTTCGGTTCGACTCGGTGGAGTTTCTTATTAATCTTAATCTTGTTTCGAAATTTTTTACGGTTTCCGTTCCGCCTTCAACGATATCCGCTAATAATTGCTCTTGTCCTTTTTTCCTTTTTCCGTTTCCTTTTACCATACGACGCCAAACAATTAGCAAGTAAATAACCCGAGAAGAAAAGAAGAGAAAAAAAAAAAAAAAAAAAAAAAGAAAAATTTAAAGTTAAGATGTCATCATCATCATCATCATCATCACCTTGACAACGAGAATTGTTTGATCGATATTTTACGAGATATCGAATAGTACAACTACAACAAACATAAAAATACCCGAAAATAAATAATTTCCCCCCCTCTCCCTCCCAAAAAAAAAAATTTTTTTTCTTTATTAACAATTGAAAAAAATCGAAATTAAAAATGCAACGTACCTTTTTTAAATCGTCAAGTTGCATGATCATAATAATAATAATAATAATAATAATAATAATAATAATTAATTATACAAATAATTATTTAGTAAAAAGTACGTTTATTTGTATAATAAACAACTTTTTACTACAACTTTTGAAAAAAAAAAAAAAAAAAAAAAAAGAAAAAACAATTGACAAATTTAAAAAAAAAAAAAATTCAATTTTTTTTTTTTGTTCATGTTTTGTTTCTGCTTTTTTTTGTTTTTGCCATTTTTTTTTTTTTTTTTTTTTTTTTTTAAATTTGATTGTTAAAAAAAATACGGGGGAGAAAAGTTTTTTTTTTTTTTTTTTTTTTTTTTTATTAAATATTAAAATCATTAAAATAAAAATAAAAATTATTAAATAATATAATGTTTGCGTCGTCGTGGTAGTTTTTAATTTAAATTTTTTTTTTTTAAAAGCGTGATTTAGCGCAAAAACCGTCATTGAAATTTTCCTTTGTGTGTTGTTTTTCCTCATAACTAATTTTTCATCATCATTATTATTATTATTATTTTTCAGTTCCGCAAACATTATGCTATACACGATGATATGATATTTAAATAAAAATATTTTGTCCGCGGATAATTATTTAATAATGAATAAATTAAATTGCCTTAATTTTCAAATAAATACATATTAAAATAATAATAATAATAATAATAATCATCTATCGATTTCATTTAAAATAATTTTTCTAAATAATTTTCCTTTAAAAAAAAAAAAAAAGAAAAACATTTAAGGTTCAAAATTAAACTTTCTAAAGATAAACTTTTAGGGAAACGTTCCAATACAATATCAGATACACAATTTTATTAAATTCTAAAATAAAAAAAAAAGAAGGTGAGTAAGTAATGCGGATTACTTATCCACACGCATCCAACACACGTCAACGTCAAATGAAAATCTCTACAAGATTTTCCAGGCAAAAAAAAAAAAAAAATAAAAATAAAAATTAATAAAAATAATAAAAACTTAATCGTAATCTTATAAAATTTTAAACACAAAAATTAAATTTATTTCTTTTTAATAATAAATTTTCTTTTATTCACCCCTTGAAACAACAATAAATTAACTATTGCAATTAGGTGCATGCTTCTTTTATTACCCCCCACCCCTCCCCCCACCTAAACGTGAAAAAAACGAAAGCATTACGAAAAAGAAAAATTAAATTTAAATTTCATGCATTCATTCATATTCACAATTATATTATAAATATTATAAAAATATATATTCGTAAGTAAATAAATTTCCCTAATCGTCATCATCATCATCATCATCATTATTTTTTTGTGTTTTTTTTTTGTGTTTTTTTTTTTTTTAACGGCTTAAGAATATTTGATGTATCCTCATAAGAAAAAAAAAAAGAAGACAAATCGATCAAACCCAAACAACCAACAAATTTCTCTCTCCCTTTCTTTCTTTCTCTCTCTCTCTCTTTCTTTCTCTCTTTCTCTCTCCCTTTCTTTCTCTCTCTCTCTCTCTCTTTCTTTCTCTCTCTCTCTCTCTTTCTTTCTCTCTCACTCTCTCTTTCTTTCTCTCTCACTCTCTCTTTCTCTCTCCCTTTCTTTCTTTCTCTCTCCCTTTCTTTCTCTCTCTCTCTCTTTCTTTCTCTCTCTCTCTCTCTTTCTTTCTCCTTTTCTTTCTCTCTCTCTCTTTCTTTCTCCTTTTCTTTCTCTCTCTCTCTCTATACATATATATATGAAGTAGTCGATTACATGATAATAAAACATTTCCATAATATTTACGTATCATACATTAATTAATTAATTAATAATAATAATAATAATAAATTTTAGATTTTAACATTCAAAATACAAGGCGACGACAGACAGACAGACAGACTCACACACACACACGTACAAAACACACATAATAATAATATTTTCGTATTAATTACTAAACAAAATGAATAAGCATTTTAAAACATGATTTTAAAATTAACAATTCCATATTACATAAAGTACGTAAAATACTACAATAATAATAATAATATTAGTAAAAATAATAATAATAATAATAATAATAATAATAATAATAATAATAATAATAATAATAATAATAATAATAAATTACGGTAAACATTTATGTGTGTTATTGTGATTTAACAGTTCGATACTCTTATTTACAATAAAAATAAAATATAAAAAAAATAAAAAAATAAAAAACGATCAAAAGTTTTTTTTTTTTTTTTTATGAACATAAAAAGAAACAAAAATCATTTGGGAAATTTCGAGAAAATTTACTCCATTTTTTTTTTATTTTTTTTATTCGTCGGAATAAAATTTTTTTTTTTTTTTTTTTTTTTTAGCACGTAAAATTTGATTTTTTCTATTAATATAATATTGTAATATCATCATCATCATCATCATCATCATCATCATCATCACGTCATATTATCATTTTACAATGTTATAAAAAATAACGGTTATTATAGTCGTCTGCTTCAAGTTTTTTCTTTTTCTTTTTACATAAAATTCAAATTGGGAGGAATCATTAAGATAACTTCATTAAACGATTTGTTAAATTTAAATACAATAAGTATCATCATTATTATCGTATAAAAATATACAACGTGTGAAATTTATAATATAAATCCATACAATATAACAACAATACCTTTTGCGACAATCAATCATTTTTTTTTTTATACAAAAATAATAATAATAATAATAATAATAATAATAAGAATTTATTTTGCGCGCGCGTGTGTATATATATATATACATACACTTAAGTATTATTATTATTATTATAAAAACTAAAAGTGTTCAGACTTGAATAAATAATTTAATAGTCGAAATAGTCAAAGTTCTGTGGTGACTTGATCGAAACTGGTATAATCTTAAAATATTTTGTACGAAATTGCACGCGGAATAATAATAATAATAATAATAATAATAATAATATTTTGATTGTAAACAATATACAAAATATTTGAAAAATTATTTAAACGAAATAAATAAATAAATACAATTTTTTTTTTCTCTTTTTTATTAATAAAAATTTAAAATTTTATAAATAATAATAATAATAATAGTAATAATACGTACACGTGTGATATCAATAATAATAATAATAATAATAATAATAATAATAATAATAATAATAATAATAATAATAATAATAATAATAATTAAAATAAATACAATTTTCTTTATGTAAATCCACAGAAACAAAGACTAGAAAATTATTAGAGATATTATAGAGTAAATTTTTTTTTTTTTTTAAAATCCACAACAATAAATTGTAAATTGTACGTGTATTTTTTTTTTTTTGGAAAAATTAAGTAGTGAGAGAAAGAGAGAGAGAGAGAGAGAAAAGGAAAATCAGACAGAGAAGAAAAAAAAAAAAACAAAAATTTTCATTACTATAAATTTTCATTAGTTAAACTACCTTTCAGTGGTGACAATTTTCATAATCTTATCTTTACTACAAGTGCTTTATTTATTAATTTAAATTTTGTTTTATTTATTTATTTATTTATTTATTATTATTATTAAATTAATAATTACCAATATTATTATTATTATTTGTCAAGTAAAACTATGTGTAGACCATTAACAAAATAAATATATAAAGTTTCCAAGGTACAAATTGTACACATTTTACAATCATTTCTCAAATTTTATAATAATTATTAATTACAAAAAAAAAAAAAAATGGTGCCAGCACACGTGGATGCTGTTAAACTAAAAAATTGTAGTAAATGAAACATAAAATTCAAATTCTTACAATTTTTATTTTTTTTTAAATAATGTAATTAATAATTATTATATTAAAACAATTTAAACAAATTTTCTTTTTTCCATCGTTGAAAACTCCCTGAAATAATTCTAATTCTAATTCTCAATTAATTATTTATTAAATTCCAAGACAAAATCTTTTTTTTTATCAGTTTTTAATTATCAATCATCCCCAAACAATGAGTAGGGGGGAGGTACTCATCAATTTTCCTTTGTACCTTACAAAAGTAAAAATATTATTTTAATAATAATAAATAAAATAAACATCAACATTTTTTTTTTTTTGCAAGTTTACTATTGCACATAAATTTGTAGTTGCAATAAATCAAAATATATCATCGA